AGTATTTCAAATAGAATTGTCATTTCCTGTGGATGTGCTTGTAGCTAAGAACAGAAGTACTCACTGGCTGGGCTAGAATTAGCAAAAATAAATGTTGCACAAATAATTGGAAATGCCTCCTATCCCATAGATATTCAGGTGGCTGAATCTCCCAGGGAAACCTCTGGAAGCTCAAAATTTAACTACCCATAGGGTCCTACCTCTGCTCTGCAGGACAGATCCTGCTGGTGTTCCGGAGACAGGTATTGGAGCCTTCACTGAGTAGAGGGTTCCCACTCTCACAGTGCCTCTGGGAATGCTGGGGGTGGCAACCATTGCTCACTCCACACATTACAGAGCAGCTTCCCAAACATGAAAGGCAGCGCTGGCTGAGGCCAGGCTGTGGGAAGCACAAAGGCTCGGGATTGCTAAGGAAGTGAGGACACAGATGGCACTGATGTGCAGGCCTTTGCTTTCTGGCCCTGGCTGAAAAAAAAACCCCAACTGTATCTGCATTAAATCCAGCAGCACTTGTACTGGGAAACATCCTCCAAGCGCTGCTCCGTTTTGGGGAGGGTTTTCCAGGGCTTCCTGAGTGCACACGTTTGTGAACGCTGTGCTGAGCACACCTGATGAGAATTGATGCTGAATGTACTTTCCTGGAGAGCACAGCACAGGCAAGGCATTCTCCATCCCCTGCCTTCCATCAGAAAGAAGACTGCATTCCTTTTGTGCATTGCTCTGAAGGGGTGGCATCACATCCTGGAGGAAAAGCTGTCTTTACTGATTAGTACAGCCTCGTATGAAATCTTGAGCACGTCCTGCCCAGATTCATCCTGGCTGCCTTTGATACTGAAATGATGCTGCAGTTTTTGGAACTGGCCACATCAAACACCATTACAGAGGACAGAAATGTGTTGTCAGTGGTGCTCAGAGCTGGGGTGGGCCAAGCCAACCCTTTCCACTGATTCCAGTGTGAACACAGCCCAGAGTTTGTTATTCAATCAATGCCTGTAATTAGTGGATAAATCTGGACCTTAATGGCTCTGCATTACTCAGCTATCTCAAAGGAAACTGCATAAACCTCCTGCATTCTGGTTTCAGATGTGAAGGATGAGCTGTGTGTCTCTCCCTGGGCCCCTCTGAGGCTGACACGGGCCTGTCCCAGGATCCTCTCAGGACCCTGATGCTCTGGGGCTCCTTCCAGGCTCTCCAGGGCTGCTCCAAGTGTTCCTGGACTCCTTCCAGCACCTCTGTGGGAATATGATGTTTACATGCCAGAAATATCAATCACCGCAACCCTTATGTTCAGCCAACAACCAGAGGCTACTCAACCTCCACAGGGCTGTTTTTCTCCGGCCACCTCCTCGCCTGACGCAGGCAAGGGATTGGATTATCGTTATCCAGGAACAGATCCCGGGATATGTGCACAAGCCACAACATCCCTGTGTGTCACATGAACGCCCGAGTGACACAGAGCTGGCCTGGTGTGCTCTGTGTGTTGGCAGGATTGAGGTCACCGCTGCCTTTGCCTCAGCCTAACCAGGCAGGAGGGTGACACTCCCCGGCTCCAGGAGCCTCTTTCAAGTTTTTGCTACAGTGCGAAAACAAGAGATGCTGGGACTTGTAGACCCAGCTGGCATCCCCATGGATACATTTAATCATAGAAAGGCTCTGCTGAAATAAGAATCAAAGTGTATTTAATAGAAACTGTGACCAATGGACGCACTGTCTGGGCAGGAATGTGCTCACAAAGCTGGGAATAAGGGTCAGAGGAAAGGCGAGGGTGGTTTCTCCAGCCTGGGGTGCTCGGCTGCCTCATGACAGGGCTGCAGCACCCACACGCAGCTCAGGACTGAGGAGCCACCAAGGGGAAGCCTTGCTGAGCAGCACCCACCTCACACAGTCCCCCTCACAGTGCAGGGGAGCTGGCACTGAACGGTTCAGCCTGGCCCAAGAGCCCTCATGGCCCCACAACCCTTCACAGCCTCCCTGAGCCCTCACAGCCCAATGGACCTTCATGGCACCCCTCGCAATGGCTGGACTCCCGGAGCCCTTGCAGCACCACAACACTCACGGCCCTCGAGCCCTCACACTCCCCTCACAGCCCCCCGAGTCCTTACAGCCTCCCAAGCCCTCACAGCCCCATGAACCTTCATGGCACCCCCCGCAATGGCTGGACTCTCTGAGCCCTTGCAGCACCACAACACTCACGGCCCTCGAGCCCTCACACTCCCCTCACAGACCCCCAAACTCTCATAGGCCCT